GTCGTCGTCCTCCTCGCGTCTCCTTTAGCCACACAACAATGGAGCCCAATTCTCCAAGCACAGCTGCTGCGGCAACAACAACAACAACAATTATCACAACAGCAACAACAACAGCAGCAGCGGCAGCGGCAGCGGCTGCCTCCCCAGCGCCGGGGGCGACTGCCTCGAGCACAGCTCCCTCTCCAGCTGGCAAGAGTCAACAGAATGTTGTCACAGGAAGCGGAAGCCTCGCTGCTGCCACCTCCAGCTGCTCCTCAGCCGGCAGCCTGGTCCAGTCCCTGCCCCAGTTGCTCACCACAAGCGGCAGCATCGAGCTGCTCAAGCAGGACGATGTCAACAATCTGTCCCTGGCCAGCGGCCTCTCGGAGGGCCAGCGATCGCTCTCCGGCGCCCCGTCGGCCTCCTCCAGTCCCATACTCAGTCCGCAGGGCAAGATCTTTGGACGCAATGCGAATGGCACACGTAAGTAGAACTTTCGCTTAATACTCGTAGGAATCATATAATCAGATATGATATTTTAGAATATATCATATAAAAGGTGATATTTAAGAATATATATATTATTAATGTGAATATTATTGTTATTATTACTATATAATTATTAAAAGTATGTTATATTTTTTAAATATCAATATTTAATATTCTGCTAAGACTTACAATGGGATACGATTCCAGATCCTCGTTGTTCTGTTGCCCAAATTATTGAAAATATTAGAAAAATCGTTCTCAACATAATCATTTTTTTCTGATCAAATATAATTATCAGAAATTTTCCTAGCACCTTTGAGAAATGTTTGCAAATTAATGATATAATATAATATAGTTGGCATTTTTTATATTATATTTTTTCCTTATTCTAAAAAGCTTTTTATTCAGATAAAATTTTTTTAATATTTCAATGATTCCTTTCTCATCCTCAAAAGATGAAATTTGAAAAAAATTGGACAGCCTATTTTAGGAAAAAAAAAAGATTTTTTGCTTTTAAAGTTAATTATTTAAATCATTTGAGCCACCAAAGAAGTCATCTTCGACCTCTTAGCGTATATGTATTATTTTTGAATACGACAATTTGGGAATATATGAGAAACTAATATGTTAGTTTTAAAGCTAACTTGTTGAAAATTTACGCAGATCTATATTTTCGTTACAGTTAGTACATAAATGGGAGTAGAATCAATTTTAGGTGTTATAAAGATCCCAACATTTGATCTAAGCCATTTTGAAACATTGCTTTGTAACACAAAATCATCTAACTCCCATCAGTTGTGAGCTTCAATATGACCCTTTCGAGGCAAATTTCATTAAAATCACACTACTCTATCATACAAATGGAATAGAGAAAGAGTTGACGAAAACTTTGAAGTCTAGAAATATAACAAATATCTAAAAGAATATCGAAAGGCTACTTTGGATAATTTTCTGGCCTTAAACATTCTTTGATACAAATAAAACAAAAATTTTACTTTAAAAAAATGTCTATTAAAAATGAGATCATTTTTGAATGAAAACTATATTCATAGCGGAAAAAGTTGGCTTAAAAAAATTGAAAAAAAAAAATTAGACTATGTTTAAATGGGAATCAATTTATTTACCACATGTTTATAATAACTTAGGTATTATGTTCCTTGGGTCTATTTCAGTTTTAAGGTCTTTAAAGATTGTCTGCTTAACTTAGAACTCTTAAACAATTCAAGAACTTTAAGTTTTCCCAAACTCAAATTCTGATCAATTGCCTTAAGTTCATAAATTTCTGCATATCTTAAAGTTTTCTCGTTTTTCTCTTTAAATTCAAATTGAAATTCATGCTGCATATCAAATTCGCCATTCAGTTGGTTTTTGTATTCGGATTTCCCGCGCTTTTTGAAGCTTTCCAGCTTTTGCTTTTTGTTGTTGTCATTGTTATTGTTGTTTTTTTGGTAACGGAAACCCGGGGCTGGCCTAACGGACCGTTGTTTTGTTTAGTTCCGGTTTTGCACTTCCTTGGTGCACGGCAAGGAAATCACCCCGAGAGGAGCCGCGTCTTAGGGCGTCTATTTTGGCATAGGCATAGGCGCATTGTCTGCCGAGCACCAGGTAGCCAATATCCGCAATGGACGCGCTGTCATCCAATCCGAACGCGCGCTGATCTTCAGGTAAATAACAGCCGTTAGTTTACCCCTCAAGTTGATAGGTCCGCCGCGTCTTAGGGGTAGCTCGAGAGAGAGAGAGACTCACCCCCAGGCCAAAGTCAAGGGTAGAAATTCACACAGAGTCAACGCTGTCTCTCAATTCCCGCCGAGAGGTTATGTTGTGCTATGATTTCTGGGCAAGATTCTGGGCTTCATCAGCGGCCATTGGCACGTACGCAGGCTGCAAGTTATTGCCACCGAAGGAATTTTGAACGACAAGAATTTGCGAACGTTCGAAAAAAGTCGCATTTAATTTATCGTTTTATATGAGAAATAGTTTTCGGTTACTTGGCCAAAAGCAGTTGGCAGGCCCCGGCGTCTGCGAATCAATGCTGCTTTTTTTTCTGTCTTTTTGCCCATAATCGAAGCGATCGCAAACGATTGACGTCCCTCACACACACGCACACACGCACACACACGCACACACACCCAGGCTGCGTCCAGTTGCTGGTCGAGATTCGCGGCCTGGCCCGGGCCGGGCCCGGGCTGGCCAGGCGGCTTGGTATGTGGCGTCGAATGTCATTATTGCTTTCAAGTGCCAACTAAAAAGCAACTGCAGTTAATTTTTTGTCCATCTTTGCCATTTGCCAACGCATAAAAACAACATATTTAGCAAATGACAACAACAGCAACAACAAGCACGTCGAGCTGGCAGCAAAACATAAGCAGCAGCAACATTAACAGACTTGCCACAACAACAAGCAGCAAATAAGACTACTCTAGTCCGGCTGTAAATGCTAGCAGATACCCTGTATACACACCCTCTCTCCACCTCAGAGCCTGCAACATTCATTTGTAAATAACTTTGAGGTTTACTGTGCGACCCATATGAAACTTTCAGTTCTTTAACAAGATATGCTAATGTGCTTATATTCAAAATTTCAAAGCTTTAGCTCTTCAATATCCTTAGTTCTGCGGGATGGCAGAGTATCAGCATTCAAAATTCATTTGTAGATAACTTCAAAATTTACTGCACGACCCTTATAAAACTTTCAGTTCTTCAAGAAGACATTACAATCTGTGCATACCCCAAAAATCAAAGCTATAACTCTTCAATAACCTCAGTTCTGTGGGATGGGACAGCTATCCACAAAGGAAACTATGCCTGATCTGTGTATGCTTTATAATGGTCTATATGTCAAATTTGTAAACTCTAGCTCAGATAAACGCAAAGTTATGCTCAAGAAACCTTTGCGGTAAATCGATATTTATCGATTTTCGGGTTGTGGTTAAATCGATATATATCGATTTTGTGAATACGCTCCAATTTATCGATTAGTTTTAAATAAACAAGATAAACATTCCAAATTCATAAGAACTTCTACGATCTGTTACTTAAGTTTACCCATCGACAGTATACCCAATATTATTCATTTTCAATAAGTACAGGGTATAACTAGCGACAGCAAAAAGCGACCCGCAAATTAAATAAATATATAAAAAAGAAAACCAACAAGCCTCGAGCCGCTGCAGGCGAACGGAGTGACAATCAGCGCGATCCAAGAGCAAGCAGCCAGACAGAAATCGTAGCCCCCAACCCAACCCTAACCATGGACACATGGACACAGGGACACATGGACACAGGGACACAGGGACACTTGGACACTTGGGCATATGGGCAGTTCCAGTTCCAGTTTGCCTGCGGCGGGCTGCTCCTCCATCGCCTTCTCCTGCTCGCTCCCCCTCGCATTATTTGTGTATTGAAATCACGTCTCATTTATTTATTGCTGCAAATACCTTACCCCTCACGTCTCCCTTCCCCTCCCCCTCCCCCTGCAATCCCAGTTACAATCCAGACTCCCGCTTCTGTGTTACGCAAAAAAAAAAAATTCTGCGTCTGCGTTAAATACTCCTCATTGGCCAGAGACCAAGGCAGGGGCTGGGCATAGAAGGAGAAGATGAAGAAGCGTCGCCTACTTAACCCCAAAGGCATCCCACTATCAATAGAAATGGGCGGGGCTGGGCTATAGAATGAAATGGGTTGGGATAAAAGTAAAGAGAAGAGAATTGAGAATTATTACAAAATGTGTAAAACTTATTTTAGATATAGCTATACGTTCCTTGTGCATGATCCTAACTTATTTCAAATGATTTAAGTCGAATCTTCTGTATTTCACATTAACTATAAAAAATTTCATATTTATTAAAGACTTTATTATTGATAATTATATGTTGAGTTTTTACTCTTTTCAAGTTCTTTTGGTCTTTTGAAGGAGAATAAATATTTGATTAAATACTTAATCTTTAAATCGAATAGGTTTCAGAGTTCACAAGATTTTTTAGATTCAACTTTTTAAATCTAATAGTTTTCTAGATTTTAATAAGTCAAGAGTTATTTTTCAAATCTAAAGGGTTTCAAAATTTTTTTATGATATTCCGAGACTTTATTCTTTAATATATATATTTAATTTCAAGAGTCAACTTTCAAATCTAAAATATTTCAAAATCTTTTAAATTCTAAGACCCAAAATCCTTTTTATATAATATTTATATATCAGAAAAAGATAATATTCAATTCCTTAAACTAATAAATATGATCTCAAGCTCACCTTTTCAAGCTCATCTCAATTCCTTCCCATAACTATCTATATATATAGAATAAAATAGCAAGCCATCCTCTTCGATTTCTTATCTATTGCCCAATAAAAATGAACAGCCTCGTATTTGGGCTTGTGTTTAGAGAAAGATTTGACATCTGAAGAACTTTGCACTCATTCTGTGGCTTCGCATGGGCTTCTTTATGGGCTTAGTTGAGATTCCTTTGCGGAAATTTGCTGCCTCACTAGTTTGTCAACGTGTCATAAATTGTGACAGGCATGCAATCATGGGTTAATGATTGGCAACGCATCAAGTGACAACAGCAACTACACCATGCTACACCATGCTACACCATGCTACATGGTGCTTCAACAACTTGTACTCAGCCCCAACCTTATCCGCCTTCTGCTCTTGTTGTTGTTTGTCTTGTTGCTGGACGCGCTTGTAGCTCGTCAGAGTCTGCGTATGTGTACAACAAAAAATAAATAAAGGCAAGAGAGAGCGATAGTCGTGGCCGTAAGATACCCTGTAGTTCGCAACTTTCATACTTATAGATTCACAAAAGTACATAGGCCGCAAGCAGCGCCATCTGGCGGGGGAAAGTTGCTGAGCTTGAAAGATATATTCTTCAATAACTTTTGTTTTTAATGTCAGATCGTTATGAAATTTTCAGAGCTTTGAGCTGGCACTCAAATCAAGATAATAGCTCTTCAATTGAAGACCCCAAATATCAAATATGTTTGATCTGTCTGTGATTCAACAAAATCTGCATAATAAATTAAATGAAATTCAATTGTTAATTTAAAATTAAAAATCTTCTTGACATACAAAATAAACATATTATAAGTATTTATCGATAATTGAAAAATTGCTGGAGTTATCGATAAAATGATTAATTGATATACGCAAATTGTATAAAATAGATCCTAGATCGATGCTCATTCTATTGTATATAGTCATAATCTTGACAAAAATATACTTATTATAATATATATTAAATATTATTAATTAATCGCATCTGCTTCACAAGACCAACCCATATTCAATAAGTACAGGGTATACAAAGAAAAAAAGTCGGCCCCAATGCGATCGATTGTGTGTGCTTTTTGTTGTTGTTGTTGTTGTTGTTATTTTTGCCTGGTTTTGTTATAATTTAGTTGGCCAGCTCGTTTTTCTATTAATTAAAGTTGGTAGCGCACACCGGCAATGGGAACTGGTAACTGGAGACGAGACCGAAGGCTCGACTAAAATATTCTCACATAATTATTTACGATTTGACATAATCATCAGCGTCGCTCATTGGCGGCCTTTTAAGTTCTGGCCATAAATTCTGTCCAAGAAGAGGAAGAGGACGAGGAAGAGGCCAAGGCACAGATGCCAGATGATAGGCGCTCTATTGTACATACGAATAATTTACACGAAAAACATTTACATTTTGTAGCTGAAAAGCGAGCAAAAGTGAGGAAAAAAAACTCGAATAAATGAATAGAAAAGATTAAGATGATCCTTGGGATCCTTTTTGCTGGGCTTCGCGCATGCGTGACGCATTTCTAACGAGTTTGCGCCGAACCCAAGGATCCCCTTGCCTATATAAGGACGAAAGCGAAAGGGTTGCACACACACACACACATACTTACACACACACATACATACACTCGCATTTGCTTATGCAGATGAGCTCGTCCCAACTTCTTGCCTCGTCCTTTTTGTGCGCTTTTTCGGGTTTCATTTTTTTTTTATTTTTCGTTTTTTTTGATTGGGTTTCGTTTCGTTTTTTTTTTGCTTTATGCTGAAGAGCAAAAGGGTTTACGGTCCAGACGTCCGTCGAGTTTTTTTTATACCAAAAAAAAAAAGCGAATTTAATTAAATTTTTTTCTTATGGACTGAGAACATTATGAGAACGCAGCCGCGCAGGAGCTCTATAAATATCTGTTCTTATGGCCTTGCGGAGGGTTTTTGATAATTTAATCGCGAATGGTGTAACGCATAGAAGAAGACACCGCTGACCCCATTAGGTATATACATATATGATTGATTGATTGATCTGACAGATAAACATGTTTTTTAGGCATAAAAGTATCTTGGTTTTGAGGCTGCGCTGATTAAACTTTGCATAGATTTGGCATTTTATTACAGGTGAAGGTCAACCAAATCGGATCAGTCTTTCATATAGAAACGATGAGTCAAAAATTGAATTGATATTTCTATGATATCTGGCACAAGCCCTAATTATTCAATACATATATCAAATTATAAAAATGAAATGCCAAAAGCCTAATTATATGTATATCATATAGCTGCCATAGGAACAATCGATCTATCATATAGGAACAATCAGTCGAAAACTTAGTTGATGTATCTATGATTTTTTGAACAAGTTCTCTATGATCCTCACTATATATCATATAGTATCTGCCATAGGAACAATCGGTCGAGAAATGAGTTGTTTTTATTTATTTTGTTTTATTTATTTATTTATTAAAGGTTGTCAAAAACGAGTTTTTCCTTATGATTCAATACATCACATTATGAAAAAATGTTTTTATGATATCTTGAGCCAACCCTATCCTATATATATCTATCCTATATCCTATATATATCTATAGCTACTTATATATCATAAGCTCTCATAGTTCTCTCGGTCTTGGTAGTTCTTAAGATATATTTCATTATGATCTTTCATTATGATCTTTCATTATGATCTTTCATTATGATCTTTCATTATGATCTGTTGCAATCTATAAATATCTATTTATAGCTAAAGTCAAGGATCAGTTGGTCGATAAATTAGTTTCAGCATGGAAAATTCTTTTAGGTTTTTTGAGCTATCTTCAAGAAGTCCAGCAAATTCGAGGCTTAATAAATCTGCGGGCATCCATTAAATTTTGTATATTATTTGATATTATATTATATTATTTGATCCGTCAAACATCGATTTTCCGTGTATTCACTTCTATTTCTTTTAGTTGCTTTCTATAGTATTTTATTTCAATTTTTCCTCAAATTTGTAATTCCCCTCTGCTCCTTGCAGTGATCACCACATCCCGGCCGAGCAACGAGGCGGAGGTGCAGCTGTATCGGGTGCTGCAACGCGCCAGTCTGCTGGCCTATTACGATACGCTGCTGGAGATGGGCGGCGATGATGTGCAGCAGCTGTACGATGCCGGCGAGGAGGAGTTCCTCGAGATAATGGCGCTGGTGGGCATGGCCTCCAAGCCGCTGCACGTGCGCCGCCTGCAGAAGGCGCTGCACGAATGGGCCAACAATCCCGGCCTGTTCCAAGGTCCCATGTTGCCGCAGCTAGGTGAGAAGGGAGCCCAGCCCGTAGGCGCATAGCTTGACTTAATGTTAATTAAATGTTCCTATGTCTCTCTAGGTCTGTGTGAGACGCCCACCAAGCTGCCCGCCCTGGTCTTTAATCCGGACGCAACGCCCGCTCTGCCACGCAATAAATTTGCTTCCTTTCAGCCCGCAACGGTGCCGTTGGCGACGGCCTCATCGCCGGCGACGGCGCCGGCGCCGGCAACCACGCATCTGCTCGCACAGATTAGCGCGCCAGTGCTGTGCCCGACGCTGCCCGCCGTCCAGCTGCAGAGTCCAACGCCCGCGCAACTGGTGCTGCCCGCCAGCACGCTGGCCAGCAATTCCGGCTGTGTGGCAGGCGTTGCCTCTGCGGTTGTTGCCGCCAGCACTGCCCACCAGGTGTCCTCGAGCTCGCCGCAGCTGACACCGGTGCTGACCGAGCTGCAGGTGCAGCGGATAGCCATGTGTGCGGCCAAGATTGCCCGGCAGCTGCCGCAGCGCGAGCCGCGGGCACAGACCTCCAAAAAGCGCACGACACGCGAACTGGAGCAGGTGATTGCGATGGGTGAGCACGATCCGCGACGCATGGATGAGATACGTAAGTACTCGGCGATCTATGGCCGTTTCGATTGCAAGCGACGTCCGGAGAAGCCGCTCACCCTGCACGAGGTCTGTGTCAATGAGGCGGCCGCCCAGCTCTGTCGCAATCCGCAAACGATTTGGCTGCTCACACGCCGGGACGAGCTCTTTCCTTTAGCCCGCCAGATTGTCAAGGATGCGGGCTTTGGCCATTCGGCGAGCATCGCTCGCTACGGCGGCCTGCTCACCCAGCTGCCCGCCCAGGGCAATCTGCAGCGTGGTGCTCCGATCGATGTGGACTGTGAGTCCAGCGATTCGGCTGCAGCGCTGCCGACGAAGCGGCTGCGTCTCTCCTCCACGGAGGCGGCACAGTTGCCCATGGAACTGAATCGGGTAAGGAAGACCGAATCCGTTGAGCCCTAATGCCATCTGGTTGGCCTGGTGGAGTGCTTCTGCCTCAGCTTCAGCTTCAGCTTCAGCTTCCAAAAAAAAAATAACCCCAACATTTTTGCAGCTTTTTTTGTAGCCCGATCGATCGGGCTCAACAAACTAACTAACGTCTGGTCTAGAGGTTCTTTTTAGAATATCTTGATCCCGATCCGTCTTGTAGCTAACTCTGCATTTAATATTTATAGTTTAATCTCTGTGGTTTTTTGAAGTATTGTAGTTTATTTTAGCTGTAAACGAATCCTAGTCTTCTCTATCATTTAAGCACGTATTGTGGGTAGAGCTATTGGAACTCTATGAAGTATGCGCGCAACGACGGGTAATTTCTTTCAGTAAAGCTTGTGATTGATCATGTCTGTTCGTCTGTCTGTCTGCTGTCAGGTAAAAGTGGAGTCTTTATAAAGTTTTGAATAGTTTCGAATTTTGGCTGATTTATATAATAGAACCCATCTGAGTTCTATATCGTATAATGTCATCAGAATTTCTGTATGAAATATATTTGGAGTTCTTCAAAATGTTTTCACGAAACACTTCAAAGTCAAGTTTTCCAAATCTTAGCTTATCGAACTATATATATATATCATATAGTTGCGATAGTTCCCATCGGTAGAAAAATGAGTTTTTGTATGCATAACCCTTCCGTTCCTTAAAATATCGTAACTCAGCAAAAATTAGCTTCAATTATTTCTTCATTTATCTGGAAAATCGTATGCCATATATCTCTAAGGATATTTAATCTTCGGTTTGCCGAATTTATATATAAATTATATTTTGTTAGTATATTTGTTGTTGTTGCACTTTATTGGATTAGTATGTTAACTCAAGTATTTATTAGTTAAATTGTTGTTATTTCTATACAATTTCATCTATACTAAGCTCTAAACTTCTTCAGCTTTCTTTAGCTCTTCTCTCTTTAAACGTAACCTTCTGCTTATCCTAGTTCTAGTTATTTAGTGGGTAGTCCCTTTGTTATATTTATTTCTGCAATATGTGGTGTACCTTTTCGTTGAGCCAATAAATAAATTTCTCTGCTTTCTGAAAAACCCAACGAACATCGTGTATTCCTTTGCTTGCTTAACTTGCTTTTTTTTGGCCGAGCTCAGCTTTTTATTATCCTGTGCTGTCGGAGATTTTAATAAACAATCTTATTGCACAACCAACCAAAAAGGAAGCTGTTGAGGATTCGCGCTACAATCTCTTTGCCATGTACCAAAAGTTCGCCAAGCCGCCGTTCGATTTGACGGAAATCGCCAAGTTCTCGTAAGTAGAAGCTAAAGATAGTACATTTTTTGATAGTACATATATCTTATGATTATATTCAATTTGTACAGCTTGGGCAAAACGGCAGACTTTGAGGACAACGATTCGCGCTTCTCCTTCAGCAACTCGAGCAACTCCCCGCCCATGCCAGTGAGTATGTGTTGGAGCGCATCCCGTGCTGGCCATCCGGCTAGAGAATATTCCCAGTAATCCTCTCTCTCTCTCTCTACATTTTCACAGGGCAATGGTCTGGAAAGTGAACGCTCGCCGGTCTCATCGCTGGACGCCTGCCCTGCCAAACAGTGTGGCTCTGGCGAGCTGAGCTTGGGACCTGAAACTGTCGATCTAACAGCTGCCGGCGTACAGGTCATATCCGCAGCGGGTGATAACATAATTGCCGTGGCAAATCCGGCCCTGGCACTCAGTCCCACCTTGAACGAGGTGCTCAAGCGTAATGCTGCCTCACCGGAAGCCTAGACCAGCAACTGCAAGAATCTATCTAATTATCAAATGTCTAGTGCCAGTTGTAGAACATAAGAATTTCAGTGCAATTTAATTAAATACAATTTGTTAGACTTAAGTCGGATATTAAATCAATAATTAGCCTGTAAATCCTGTGATCTAAACTATTCTGTAATAAACAAGAGTGCCCCAGGCGAGAGTATACGACTAGTAGACACTCTGCACAAGCTCCACACAAACATACGCTCGTAATTATCTCTATTTCTAATATATTATATCTCGGCTCTATACCACGTAACATTTATTCTTCAATAACTTCTATGTTTTTTTCACACCTTTTTGATGATTTTTATTGAATATCTCGGGTAAATACTGTCAGATTTTGAAATGTTATACCTTTTTGAATTCGTAGGGATCCCTACTATCAATCTGCATTCAAACATTTTAAAAATCGATGGGTTAAAAAAAGTAGTTGACCAAAAAGCGATTCGTTTGTAAAATCAACCTTTTTTGATGATTTTTTGGAATATCTCGGCCAAATAATGTCCGATTTGGGAATTTTATACCATTTTGGACTCGTAAGGATCAGTACTATCGATTGGCATCAAAAAAATAAAAATCTAAATTTTGACCGAAATCATCAAAATGGCAAGGGGTTACATCACGTTTTTTCTCAAATTGGGGGTCGGCTCGAAAATGAAACCTTTTTTGATGATTTTTATTGAATATCTCGGGTAAATACTGTCAGATTTTGAAATGTTATACCTTTTTGAACTCGTAGGGATCCCTACTATCAATCTGCATTCAAACATTTTAAAAATCGATGGGTTAAAAAAAGTGGTTGACAAAAACCGATTCGTTTGTAAAATCAACCTTTTTTGATGATTTTTTGGAATATCTCGGCCAAATAATGTCCGATTTGGGAATTTTATACCATTTTGGACTCGTAAGGATCAGTACTATCGATTGGCATCAAAAAAATAAAAATCTAAATTTTGACCGAAATCATCAAAATGGCAAGGGGTTACATCACGTTTTTTCTCAAATTCGGGGTCGGCTCGAAAATCAAACCTTTTTTGATGATTTTTATTGAATATCTCGGGTAAATACTGTCAGATTTTGAAATGTTATACCTTTTTGAATTCGTAGGGATCCCTACTATCAATCTGCATTCAAACATTTTAAAAATCGATGGGTTAAAAAAAGTGGTTGACCAAAAACCGATTCGTTTGTAAAATCAACCTTCTTTGATGATTTTTTGGAATATCTCGGCCAAATAATGTCCGATTTGGGAATTTTATACCATTTTGGACTCGTAAGGATCAGTACTATCGATTGGCACCAAAAAAATAAAAATCTAAATTTTGACCGAAATCATCAAAATGGCAAGGGGTTACATCACGTTTTTTCTCAAATTCGGGTTCGGCTCGAAAATCAAACCTTTTTTGATGATTTTTATTGAATATCTCGGGTAAATACTGTCAGATTTTGAAATGTTATACCTTTTTGAATTCGTAGGGATCCCTACTATCAATCTGCATTCAAACATTTTAAAAATCGATGGGTTAAAAAAAGTGGTTGACCAAAAACCGATTCGTTTGTAAAATCAACCTTTTTTGATGATTTTTTGGAATATCTCGGCCAAATAATGTCCGATTTGGGAATTTTATACCATTTTGGACTCGTAAGGATCAGTACTATCGATTGGCATCAAAAAAATAAAAATCTAAATTTTGACCGAAATCATCAAAATGGGAAGGGGTTACATCACGTTTTTTCTCAAATTCGGGTTCGGCTCGAAAATCAAACCTTTTTTGATGATTTTTATTGAATATCTCGGGTAAATACTGTTAGATTTTGAAATGTTATACCTTTTTGAATTCGTAGGGATCTCTACTATCAATCTGCATTCAAACATTTTAAAAATCGATGGGTTAAAAAAAGTGGTTGACCAAAAACCGATTCGTTTGTAAAATCAACCTTTTTTGATGATTTTTTGGAATATCTCGGCCAAATAATGTCCGATTTGGGAATTTTATACCATTTTGGACTCGTAAGGATCAGTACTATCGATTGGCACCAAAAAAATAAAAATCTAAATTTTGACCGAAATCATCAAAATGGCAAGGGGTTACATCACGTTTTTTCTCAAATTCGGGTTCGGCTCGAAAATCAAACCTTTTTTGATGATTTTTATTGAATATCTCGGGTAAATACTGTCAGATTTTGAAATGTTATACCTTTTTGAATTCGTAGGGATCTCTACTATCAATCTGCATTCAAACATTTTAAAAATCGATGGGTTAAAAAAAGTGGTTGACCAAAAACCGATTCGTTTGTAAAATCAACCTTTTTTGATGATTTTTTGGAATATCTCGGCCAAATAATGTCCGATTTGGGAATTTTATACCATTTTGGACTCGTAAGGATCAGTACTATCGATTGGCACCAAAAAAATAAAAATCTAAATTTTGACCGAAATCATCAAAATGGCAAGGGGTTACATCACGTTTTTTCTCAAATTCGGGGTCGGCTCGAAAATCAAACCTTTTTTGATGATTTTTATTGAATATCTCGAAATGTTATACCTTTTTGGATTCGTAGGGATCCCTACTATCAATCTGCATTCAAACATTTTAAAAATCGATGGGTTAAAAAAAGTGGTTGACCAAAAACCGATTCGTTTGTAAAATCAACCTTTTTTGATGATTTTTTGGAATATCTCGGCCAAATAATGTCCGATTTGGGAATTTTATACCATTTTGGACTCGTAAGGATCAGTACTATCGATTGGCACCAAAAAAATAAAAATCTAAATTTTGACCGAAATCATCAAAATGGCAAGGGGTTACATCACGTTTTTTCTCAAATTCGGGGTCGGCTCGAAAATCAAACCTTTTTTGATGATTTTTATTGAATATCTCGGGTAAATACTGTCAGATTTTGAAATGTTATACCTTTTTGAACTCGTAGGGATCCCTACTATCAATCTGCATTCAAACATTTTAAAAATCGATGGGTTAAAAAAAGTAGTTGACCAAAAAGCGATTCGTTTGTTAAATCAACCTTTTTTGATGATTTTTTGGAATATCTCGGCCAAATAATGTCCGATTTGGGAATTTTATACCATTTTGGACTCGTAAGGATCAGTACTATCGATTGGCACCAAAAAAATAAAAATCTAAATTTTGACCGAAATCATCAAATTCGGGGTCGGCTCGAAAATCAAACCTTTTTTGATGATTTTTATTGAAAATCTCGGGTAAATACTGTCAGATTTTGAAATGTTATACCTTTTTGAATTCGTAGGGATCTCTACTATCAATCTGCATTCAAACATTTTAAAAATCGATGGGTTAAAAAAAGTGGTTGACCAAAAACCGATTCGTTTGTAAAATCAACCTTTTTTGATGATTTTTTGGAATATCTCGGCCAAATAATGTCCGATTTGGGAATTTTATACCATTTTGGACTCGTAAGGATCAGTACTATCGATTGGCACCAAAAAAATAAAAATCTAAATTTTGACCGAAATCATCAAAATGGCAAGGGGTTACATCACGTTTTTTCTCAAATTCGGGGTCGGCTCGAAAATCAAACCTTTTTTGATGATTTTTATTGAATATCTCGGGTAAATACTGTCAGATTTTGAAATGTTATACATTTTTGAACTCGTAGGGATCCCTACTATCAATCTGCATTTAAACATTTTAAAAATCGATGGGTTAAAAAAAGTAGTTGACCAAAAAGCGATTTGTTTGTTAAATCAACCTTTTTTGATGATTTTTTGGAATATCTCGGCCAAATAATGTCCGATTTGGGAATTTTATACCATTTTGGACTCGTAAGGATCAGTACTATCGATTGGCATCAAAAAAATAAAAATCTAAATTTTGACCGAAATCATCAAAATGGCAAGGGGTTACATCACGTTTTTTCTCAAATTCGGGGTCGGCTCGAAAATCAAACCTTTTTTGATGATTTTTATTGAATATCTCGGGTAAATACTGTCAGATTTTGAAATGTTATACCTTTTTGAACTCGTAGGGATCCCTACTATCAATCTGCATTCAAACATTTTAAAAATCGATGGGTTAAAAAAAGTGGTTGACCAAAAACCGATTCGTTTGTAAAATCAACCGTTTTTGATGATTTTTTGGAATATCTCGGCCAAATAATGTCCGATTTGGGAATGTTATACCATTTTGGACTCGTAAGGATCAGTACTATCGATTGGCATCAAAAAAATAAAAATCTAAATTTTGACCGAAATCATCAAAATGGCGAGGGGTTACATCACGTTTTTTCTCAAATTCGGGGTCGGCTCAAAAATCAAACCTTTTTTGATGATTTTTATTGAATATCTCGGGTAAATACTGTCAGATTTTGAAATGTTATACCTTTTTGAATTCGTAGGGATCTCTACTATCAATCTGCATTCAAACATTTTAAAAATCGATGGGTTAAAAAAAGCGGTTGACCAAAAACCGATTCGTTTGTAAAATCAACCTTTTTTGATGATTTTTTGGAATATCTCGGCCAAATAATGTCCGATTTGGGAATTTTATACCATTTTGGACTCGTAAGGATCAGTACTATCGATTGGCATCAAAAAAATAAAAATCTAAATTTTGACCGAAATCATCAAAATGGCGAGGGGTTACATCACGTTTTTTCTCAAATTCGGGGTCGGCTCGAAAATCAAACCTTTTTTGATGATTTTTATTGAATATCTCGGGTAAATACTGTCAGATTTTGAAATGTTATACCTTTTTGAATTCGTAGGGATCTCTACTATCAATCTGCATTCAAACATTTTAAAAATCGATGGGTTAAAAAAAGTGGTTGACCAAAAACCGATTCGTTTGTAAAATCAACCTTTTTTGATGATTTTTTGGAATATCTCGGCCAAATAATGTCCGATTTGGGAATTTTATACCAATTTGGACTCGTAAGGATCAGTACTATCGATTGGCACCAAAAAAATAAAAATCTAAATTTTAACCGAAATCATCAAAATGGCAAGGGGTTACATCACGTTTTTTCTCAAATTCGGGGTCGGCTCGAAAATCAAACCTTTTTTGATGATTTTTATTGAAAATCTCGGGTAAATACTGTCAGATTTTGAAATGTTATACCTTTTTGAATTC